AATATTTTTCACTATCCTATCCATACTATTTCCAAAATACCAGTTTGTTTCCCTATTATGGAAATACTATTATATTTTATTCAATTATTTTTAAACCCTTTAAGTTTATTAATTTAACTAAACACCCCCCAAAAAAGTTTAGAAATTAAAAAAAAACCCCTACTCACCCACATTTACCAGATTCCAGTCACTATACCAGAAAGTAGCCGAAATCTAATATAATGGCACACTATCGGCTGGATCTGACCAGTAGTGTGCTAATCTAGCCTTTTTTGGTTAGATCTATCATAGATCTGGCTGAAAAATGCTAGATTTACGACCAAATATCTGGCCGTTGACGACCAGATCTTTAGCTTCAGCTTGTCGTCAACAACAGCCAAATTTGGCCATCGTTGATGATCAAATGTGGCTAGACTTGGCCGTCAACAGCCAGATCTAACCTTTTTCGCCTAGATTCATGGTGGATCTGGCTAGAAAAAAACTATATCGGCGCATGACTGGCCAGATCCAGCCGGTTGTATGCCAATACTGTGACTCTAACCACCCTCGGTAGTGGTGGCCAGCTGTTAGTATTTAATGGGTAGATGAGGGTGTTTTTGTTAATTTTCAATATTTTATTACAGAGGTGTTTAGTAAATTAACAAACTTAGGGGGTGTTTTTATTAATTTTTAAATCTTACCTCGTAATAACCACTAAACTCTTAGGCTTCGTTTGGCTCAAGTTTGGGAATACTACTTTTAGTATTCCCAATAAAGTTAAACAGTAAAATGCCCAAAAACTCACAATGGGTGCGTTTGGCTTATTATTTTTTATCCATATTCTCAATCCTATTTTTCAAATGTTGTTTGTCACGTTATTCCCAAAATATCAGTCTATTTTTTTAATTACGTTGAGACCTTATAAGTTTATTAATTTCATTAAATACCCCCCAGAAAAAAGTTTAAAAACTAACAAAAACACCCCCACCCACCAATACCTTCCAGATTCTGGCAACCACTATCGGTAGTAGCCGGAATCTATCACAATAGTCACACAGCCACCGAAAATTGTCGGTAATGGCTAGATCTGTGGTCAACGACAGCCAAAAATGGCAGTTGTTTCAGCCTTTTCCGGCCGTCGCAGCCACAGTAGTTCGTAGATTTGGCCTTTTCCGGTCATATCCGTGGTGGATCTGGCAGGAAAAGGCCATAACGACGCATTACGGCACAAATCCGACCGGTCAGTGTCGTAACGAAATTTTTCGGCCAAATTCTGGTGGTGGTGGTCGGAATCTGGCACTGCAAGTGGTGGGGGTGTTTTTGTCATTTTATATATTAAGTTTTTTAATTAAATTAGTAAACCCAAGGGCTTTTTCATAAATTTTTAAAGTTTACCTCGTAATACTCCCCTATCCAACAACTCAATACTATCCCCAAAATCCTATCCAAAATAATAAACCAAACGCACCCATATTATCCAATATTATTCAACTTCTTTTAAACCCCTTAAATTTGTTAATTTAATTAAATACCCCTAAATATTTTTTTTGAAATTGCAAAAACACCCCTAAACCCACATTATACCAGATTCCGGCCACCACTGCCGGAAGTTGGCCAGAATCTGGTAGGATGGCACACTACCGGCTGGATTTTGTTGGTAGTGCGCCGATAGCCTTTTTCGGCCAGATCCATGGTGGATCTGGCTGTAACCAGTCGTCAACGACGACCAACATTATGGTCGTCGTTGACCATCAACGACGGCCGTATCTTTGGCCGTCATTGACGAAGATCTAAGGCCAGATCTGGCCAGCAAAGGCCAGATCTAGCCGTAGATCTGCCCTTTGTCAGCCAGATCCACAGTGGATCTGGTCGGAAAAGGCCATATCGGTGCACGACCGGCAAGATCCAACAGATCATGTGCCGATACGGCCACTCTAGCCACCCTCCGGCGGTGGTGGCCGGCTGTCCGTGTTTGATGGGTGGGTTAGGGGTGTTTTTGTTAATTTTTAATGTTTTATTATAGGGGTGTTTTGTAAAAAACAAACATAGTGGGTATTTTAAATTTATAAATCCTGCATCGTAATACTTGCCAAATTCAACTTTTTTTTAACTTTTTCAAAAGACTTTTCCCAAAAACGTAAAAATGTGAACCAAACGGAGCCTTACTTTTTCAAAAATCTTATCTAAAATACTAAAATAAACGCACCCAAAACAAAAACACACTAATTTTAAATTTTATTTTCCAATTTATATTTTAATTTACACATTTATAATTTCAAATATAGCAAAATTAAAATTTTACAAATTTATAAATCTATATTAAATTAATAATGAAAATTTATAAATGGATAAATCTATATTAAATTAACAAAATAATTATAATTGAAACAAAAAAGTTCATTTATAAATTAACAAAAATATAAATTTTGTTAATATATCATGTGTAGTTTTAACATGTTCTAAGAGCGTGTATTATTAAAAGAAATATTTTCATTATACTAATATACCTTATTTATAAGAGGACAAAAATAACTTTTTTTGATATCTTATTATTATTTTATTTAATTTTTATGGTTTTAAAATGTTCAAGTTTCATAATAAGATCTCTAGATATTAAATTTACGATAAAAACATTTTTAATAAAATAATTCCATTCAATAAAGTATTCACCTATTGAATTTTATTAAAGTATTAATCACTTGAACAAATCAATTTAATAAAATTAAGATTTTAATATTATTAACGCTTTGTGTTTGTCATTTAATAATACATATAGGTAGCGTTTGGTTCGGGGTGATATAAGATTAATCTTGTAATCTTTGTTTAATTTTTAAGATTCCCTTGTTTGGTTGTCAAGTAATAAAATATTATGTAATTTTTTATTGCAAACAGTGTTTACTGTTAGTAATCTTGGGGGTAATCAGATTATCTTCCCAAGGGGTGTTAATATAAGATTACAGAGGTAATCTTAATTTTGACCTTATTTTGCCCTTAATCTTTTATCATTTCGGACACATTTGCCCCCATATGTCTACCAAATAACAATTACCCAGACCCCTTACATTTGAGAATTTAACTAAAACACCCCACCATAAAAAGTTAAAAAGTTAACAAAATATCCGCAACCATCTAAGACCACCGTCGGCTGCTAGCCACCATCGCTGGCCGTCGACAAAAGTTGTCATATCGGCACAAGACTGGCAGGATCTTATCGGTCGTGTGTCGATAAGGACGTTTCTGACCATTAATTTGTGATCTATGGCCGAAAACGACCAGATTTGACTGTTTTACCGCCAAAGATGTGGTCATGAAACGCCATAGATTTGGCCGTGAAATGGTTGTAGTTTCACGGCCACATCTTTGGCTGTGAAACGACCATATTCACGGCCAGATCTAGCTGTGAAATGACCATATTCATGGCTAGATCTAGCCGGATTAGGCCTTATCGGCGTACGACTAGCCAGATCCGGCTGGTCGTGCGCCATTATAACGGCTTTCGGCGGTGGCTTAGGGTGAGTGGGGGTGATTTTGCTATAAATTAAAGTTTTATATGGTTGAGGTGTTTTAATAAAATTTCAAATATAGGAGGGTTAAAAGAAATTATTAAAAAAATAATATTATATTATTATTTAAAAATGAGGGCAATTTAGTAATCTATATAACATACATACTCATTTATCATCTCAACCAAACATATTATTATAACATACCCATCAATTTGTTCAAACACACCAAACACATTTCTCTAAAAATTCTCTAGTAATCTTTCTTTTTAGTAATACAACATTCCTCGGTAATATAACATTCCCTGAACCAAACGCACCCATAGTTGAAAATGAAATTTATTTTTTCTCTGTTGATTCTGTATGCCTTATATTGAATTATTTTTACGTATTCTTGCAATCAATTAAATAAAATACTCATAAATTATTAAAATTCTTTTAAAATTATTAAAAATTACACAAACCATATAAGAGACTTTTAATTGTTTGGAGAAATTCAAATATTCGATATTAGATTTGTAATATAAATCTAATTCCATTATATTTATTTAATTTTAAAATCATGAAAATATGATAAAAAATTAATTCTTTAAAATAATTATATACCGTGAAATATATATAAACACGGTGCACTTGGTTCATTATTCTGATACTTTGTAAAATAATATTTTTAAAAAAGTAAAATTAGGTGGTTATCACGAAGTAGGATTTGAAAATTAATAAAATACCCCCTAGGTTTGTTTATTTACTAAACACCCCTATAAAATATTAAAAATTAATAAAAACACCCCCACACACCCATTAAATACTGACAGCTGACCACCACTACCGGAGAGTGGCTGGAGTCATCGTATTGGTGCACGACTGATTGGATCTTGTCGGTCGTATGCCGATATGACATTTTTTAGCTAGATCTAACCATTGACAGCCATATCTGGCTGCATTTGGTCGTCAACGACGGCTGTATCTCGGCCATCATTGACGATTGGCTACGGCCAAAGATGGCCAGATCTTTGGTTGTAGATCTGGCCGAAAAAGGCTAGATCGGTTCACCACCGGCCAAATCCAACCGATAGTACACCTTTATACCAGATTCCGATCAGCTTCCGGCGGTGGTGGTTAGAATCTGACAAATGTAGGTTGTTGGGGTGTTTTTGTCAATTTTTAAATTTTTTGGGGTTTCTTGTGAATTAATAAATCTAGGGGATTTAAAAAGAATTGAATAATATAGAATAATATTTTGAGAATAAGGAAATAAATGTGTATTTTGGGTAGAATAAGGAATAGAGGACAGGAAAATTTGTCTTCTCCACCTGATTGGTTACTGTTTCCACGCTCCGCTCCCAGCGCGTGGGAGTGACTTAATATTCAAAACGTACAACCCAAAATACCCCGCCCCTCTCTTTCTCTCTCTAGATGTAAGATAAAGATATTGTACCCTCGTTTTGTCATTTCGTTTGTCACTTCGGAGCCGGCTCTCGGCAAAACAAAAACAAACCAGAAAAAGAAACCAAAAAAAAAAAAAGAAAAAGAAAAAAGAAAATCAAAGCGAACAAATCAAATCAATTCAAAGGCGAAGACAAGGAAGCTAAAACGATTCGTTTTGGCGGAGACGACAGAGATCGGAGTCGTGAGTGAAAATGTCGGAAGAAGAAAAGCTATTGAAAGAGGCGAAGAAACTGCCATGGGAAGATCGATTGTTGCACAAGAATTGGAAGGTTCGGAACGACGCCAACATTGATTTGGCTTCGCTTTGCGACTCCATTGCTGATCCTAAGGACGGGCGTCTCAGAGAATTCGGTGAGTTTGATTTTTGATGGAACGTGTTAGATCTGATTTTGATTGGTGTTTGTTTGGATCTGATTTCAATGTCATTGTAGTTGTGAAGTGGTGCGGTGTTTTTGTTTTGGTTAATTAGGTTTTGAGTTGTTGATACGGTGTCGTTTTGGTTGTTTTAGGTCCGTTATTTAGGAAGACGGTGGCGGATTCGAATGCGCCTGTGCAAGAGAAGGCGCTTGATGCGTTGATTGCATTTTTAAAGGCCGCGGATGCGGATGCTGGCAGGTGAAGAAGTTGAAATGCTTGTGTTTTTTTTTTTTATTGTGAATGGGTGAATAAATGTGAATGAATTAAGTAAATTAATGGTTTTTGAATAATTTAATTGAGGTTTTTTTGTTGTGTAGGTACGCAAAAGAAGTTTGTGATGCGATTGCAGCAAAATGCTTGACGGGGAGGCCGAAAACAGTTGAGAAAGCTCAAGCAGCGTTTATGCTTTGGGTTGAATTGGAGGCTGTGGATGTTTTTCTTGTATGCTTCTTCTTCTTTTACTACTCATTGCATTGCATGTGCTTTTGATTCATTAGTTGATGATTATTTAAAGTATGAGGACAGTGTACACTGTTAAGGGAAGTTTTAAGTTTTAGGGTTTATGTAATTGGGTTTTATCTGGGAATTGTAGGATACGATGGAGAAAGCAATAAAGAACAGGGTTGCTAAAGCAGTTGTGCCTGCTATAGATGTCATGTTTCAAGCTCTAAGGTTTGTGCATGAATGAGATCTTTGTGGGATAAGTATGAATACGTTGTTGGATATTGTTGTTTGTTAGTCTAATTAGGATTCTGTTGTCTTTTTTTAATTAGTGAATTTGGATCAAAAATTGTACCTCCGAAAAGAATTTTGAAGATGCTTCCTGAGCTCTTTGACCATCAAGATCAGAATGTGCGTGCATGCTCTAAAGGACTGACTCTTGAACTTTGTCGTTGGATTGGAAAAGACCCTGTGAAGTCAATATTGTTCGAGAAAATGAGGGATACAATGGTATGCCAAACTTTAAGTTGTCAGTACTTGGCATTTTGTGACTTACGTTTCAATTGGAAGTAATTAGCATTTCTGTCATTCTGTTGTTTGAAGAAAAAAGAGCTGGAGGCTGAGCTTGTCAGTGTTATGGGGACAGCTAGGCCAACTAGGAAGATCAGGTCAGTGCTTTGTTGTGAAGAAGTATTTCTTTGTTATAACAGGATAAACTTGTTTTTGTAGGATGCATTCAGACCCTTTTTGCTGATGTTCTGGTTACGCTTTATCTTTTTATACTCTTGTTTGAGCTCCTCTCTATTTTTGGTATTGTGCTGTCTGTAGATAAAAGTTATCTCATCAACTTCATAATGTAATACACATGTATATATTTAGTGTTATCCCTTTTTTAAAAAGAAATTTCCTTGTTTTTCAATTTTGTCAATTACCTGGAGCTACATGCATTCAAGCCCATGTGCTGGTATGATGTGTTGTTTTCAAGTCCACTAAATACTGAATATGTAATTTTTGTGAGTCAGGAGTTCTGTTGGGTTTTGTTAATGTTCAATTGTCTTCTTTTATTTGTAAATTAATGTCTACCAATCTGTATTAAAAACATTTGTCTAAGATGTGTAGGACCGTTTTAAGGCAAAACCCAGGATGTTAGTTAGTCTAGAGTGTAATTCATCTTGTTGATCAAACAAAGTTGGTGGTATTTGTATGATAGTGGTATTGTTATATATATTTTGTATAACATGTCCTTGTATCCTGTTGTGTTACTTGAATTTAAAATTGATTGAGCAGATCTAGCTGGTCAGTTTTGCCATACATGTGGTGGAATTAATTTATATATAATTTTTAGATCTGAACAAGATAAGGAGCCAGAACAGGAGACTGTGTCTGAAAATGTGGGTCCTGGTGCTCCCGAAGAGTCTGCAGCTGAGGGTATGCCATTTTCATTGAGGGACTATGGAGTATGGAATTTATGATCTTGTTATTGTTTAAGAGTGTTTCCTAGTGCCTCATATGTTTTCCTTTTTTGCCAGCTCCTCAGGAAATAGATGAATATGAACTCGTTGATCCTGTTGACATATTGACACCTTTAGAGAAATCTGGTTTTTGGGAAGGAGTGGTAAGTGCTCTCTCTTTGTGTTTTAATATGTATTCTTTTTTTTTATTGATGTTTAATACATCTCTTATCTTTATTTTGTACGTAATTGTGATCCCATATTTTTCTGTTGTTAATGGCTTTACTACTTTTTGTTGTTGGTATAACTCAATGTTTGTCATGCTTATTTTGTTGTAATAATTTATCTGTCTTTTTAGAAAGCTACCAAGTGGTTAGAACGGAAGGAGGCTGTTGCAGAGCTAACCAAGCTTGCTTCAACAAAAAAGATAGCCCCTGGTGATTTTTCAGAAGTTTGCCGGACCTTGAAGAAGGTATTCTGATCTTTATAACTGAAGTGAACAAGTTTATTTTTGACACACTATATTTTCACTCATTGTTTCTGATAGCAGATGGGCTAGTGAGGGCAGCCTGCTGCCTTTTTAATATTTGATTTCTGCTATTTAGAATGCCTTATATTCTGTTTTGTCAATGTTTGAATATACATATGAATATTGCCTCATATTCTGTTTTGTCTATGTTTGAATATGCCTTACATTCTGTATGAATGCCTTACATTCTGACCAGGTGTTTTTGTGCAGCTTATAACAGATGTGAATATTGCTGTTGCAGTTGAAGCCATTCAAGCTATTGGTAATCTTGCCCGTGGTCTTAGAACCCATTTTTCTGCCAGTTCACGCTTTTTATTGCCAGTTTTACTTGTGAGTTCTGTATCTTTACACCTTTCCATGTTTCTTCTGATATAGTTGGGATTTTTTGTCTGCCTATGTTTCTCTTTAGCAATCTCTTCTTTCTTCCTTGTTTTCCAATAAGACCCCTACAAATGTGGAGGCTTTCCATGTCTAGCATAAAATTAGTGCAAAAGAATAATTCTAATGTATGTATTCTTTTTTGTTTGGGAGGCAACCTTTGACTTCCCCCCTTGCTTGCTTGCATTTGTTTGTACTTTCTAAACCAGTGCTTCTTACTAGAGAAACTTGATGTACTATAATTTCATATTTTCAACTTGTATGATTTTGTACTTTTTTAGTGATAAGCCATTTTTTCTCCTCTTTATGATTCTTTGCCTGTGCTGCTGCATGATGGCTGTTCTCTCTCTCTCTCTTCTGGCATGAACAGTTATTAGGTTTCTTTAAGATCTTTTTGGCTGTGTGATGACCAATTAGAAGTTAGGTCTTCAACCCTTTCTTTATCTTAATTCATTCTTTTGATGTGTTAGATTCCATTATTGTTGAACTGCTGATTGTAAAGTGTTGTCAATATAAAAAGAATTTTTGTTTATGATGTTTGTTAATGGAATGATGAATCGAATGACATTTAAAATATAGTATGATAGTTTAATTAGTTATTATTTTTTCTTGAGAGAAGCTGTTTGTGATGTAGACTTTGTAATATCACGATTTACAAAATTTCTGTGATGGTTAATTACTAATGGTTTTGTGCCCATGTTATAGAAAATGTATTTTAAAAAAATATTCTTGTACATAATTCTTCACTAGCTTAATAAAGGGCTATTTGCAGTCAATTTATTGCTGGTCTAAACAAGTTTCTTCTTCTGTAGGAAAAATTGAAAGAGAAAAAACCTACGATGGCTGAGGCACTTACACAAACTCTTCAAGCAATGCACAAGGCTGGGTGCTTAAATCTCGTTGATATTGTTGAAGGCAGGTTTTTTTTCTTTCTATTGTGAATAGGAACTTATAACTTCTTAGAAATGCAAATTTCTTCAATTGTCTTTAATTCAATGGGTGTTTTTCTAGAGACATAGCTCTCTCATGGTGATGAAATGCATTGCTGTTTCTGGGAGTTCTGGGCTTTTGAAATGAATTATTGCACTTATTGTTCGATAGATGGTTGACTGTTACATTGATTGCATTTGCTACTGTCTACTGCAGATGTTAAGACAGCTTTAAAAAATAAAGTTCCGCTTGTGCGCTCAATGACTTTGAATTGGGTGACATTTTGCATTGAAACAAGTAACAAAGCTACTATTCTAAAGGCGCATAAGGACTATGTCCCTATTTGCATGGAGGTCAGTGAATCTATAACTTAAGTTCTTCTTTCCTTATGCTTTATCTTTCTTTTTCTCTGAATTTATCAATCATCGGCACTTATGGTTCTGCTCTATTGAAGTTTGGTACATCAGATCCTTCTGATTTCACCGCCTCTGAAATATGGATAGCTAAAAAAATGAAAAATTACTGAATTTTTATTTATTCTCTTGGACATGGTTTTTGGATGATTATGATTTGCAGATTAAGATAATCATCTATTTAGATGTGTGATTTCTGTTGCGAACAATATTTCAGCTGTGAATTCATAGTTGTGTACATGTGTGTTTGGACATCTGAACTTTCTTCAATTACTTTTTCTGATCTTTTCTGTAATATGTATAAATAAAACAAATTGAATTTTGTAGAGCCTTAATGATGGAACCCCAGAGGTGAGGGATGCTGCTTTTTCAGCTTTGGCTGCAATAGCAAAGGTAATACTGTCAAATTTAAATTCAGCCCTCCGTTGGTTCTGATTAAATTTTTCATTGTAGTAAATTCTTATGATATTTTTTTTTCCAACTTTAGTCTGTTGGCATGAGGCCTTTGGAGAGGTCACTTGAGAAACTTGATGATGTTAGAAGAAAAAAACTTTCTGAAATGATTACGAGCTCTGAAGGTGGTGTCTCCACTAGTTCAGGTTCAGGTTTGTTTCTTTTTATTTTTTGTTTCAATCCAGTAATCATTGCAGTTAATTTAGTGTTTTAAATTTTTTATTCTGTTTATTTCATAAATTTTTTATCCAGTGGTGGCTAGGGTTCCTACTTCTGGTGGAAGTGTGCCATCTGTGGAGGTTGGTTTTCTATAATTTTTTATTTTAACAGTGTCACTGTATTTTTTCTATCTATTCTTATATGGTTATTGTGCTTTATTTTCTCTCTCCATTTTCATATGGTACTCCTTTGACTATATTATTGTTCTTTATCATGTGTCTTGGGTTACTATTTCTGGACCAATAAGGCCTTAAACTTTACATTGGGGTGTTTGTCAACTATGCTGTAACTTGAAAGCCCAAAACAGGAGTTAAAAGTTATAGATTACCTGTGCCATAGTGGACAAAAAGGATCACTTATTTATCAGTCATATTGTGGTCTCTTTATATATATATATATATATATATATAAACTTAAACGCATCCTTTCCTGCTGCTTTCTTGTTCAACTATTTTGATGAATTTGTGGTAAATCCTTATTTTCTACAAATCCTGGTTATGAATATTCTTTTAAATTTGATGTAAAAGACCAAAAAAAATTTGTTATTGCAATCAAGTTCTATAATTTGCTCGAGAGTTTAAATTATTTTCTGATTACTATAAAGGAGTTATTTCATGTGTTTGCAAGTCAATAACTTGTTTAATTATTGTTTTTTCTTATGTATCCATAAATATTACAGTGTTATGATGTGTGTTGTACACAACATTAATCAGTCCATCAAATTAGTTGCTTTTACTAATATTATATATTAAATTGAAATTTATGCAGAATTCAGGAAGTTCATTTGTTAAAAAGTCTGCGGCAAGCATGCTTAGTGGGAAGAGGCCGATTCCAGCAGCAGTGAGTTCTTTATTATTATTATTATTATTTTTTATTTTTTTTCCTTTTCATGTGTCTTTCTACCAGAGAAAGATACGTTACTCTTGAAAGTTTTGGAGGAGTGGTTATTTCGATTTAAAATTAAATTTTTCACTATCATGCTGATGTTCCCTGACAGCCTGCCAGCAAAAAAGGAGGTCCAGTTAAATCTGGTGCCAACAAAAAGGGTGATGGAGCTGGACGGCAAGAAACTTCAAAATTGGTTGAGGCTCCTGAAGATGTTGAGGTAAACTAATAACCTGTTAGTCAAAGCTTTTGATTTGTATTTGGCCTGATAAGTTTATGATTTTTATGTCTTTAATTTCTCTTGTTTTGCAGCCAGCAGAGATGAGTCTTGAAGAGATTGAAAGCAGAGTAGGCTCTCTTATTCAGGGAGATACAGTAGGTCAATTGAAGAGTGCTGTGTGGAAAGAACGCCTTGAAGGTTGGTTATTAGAATCCTTTCAATTCTCTATGTTACTTTTATTTCTTTTCATTTACTTGATAAGAAATATGAAAATTTTGTTAAAACAAAGAGTGCATTTCCAAAATGAAAAAATGTTTCACTAAAGAAAGACTAGCCTGAGAAAGCGAAATGATGACATAAAGGTGTATATTAATTGACCTGATATTTGTCTATTTACATAATCTATTTCTAAGCTGTGGCATGAGTATCTGTGTTTATGTGGGTGGTAAAATTTGTAGCATATGCTTTCTTGATCAATTTGAAAATACCTGTAGATATACTATATACTTTGGATTGTGGAGTATTTGTGAAAACCTTAATGCCTAGTAATTCCTGCATCTTGTACTCTGGTTATCTAGATTGGTAAATTATATTATCTAATGCTGTTGTTTGTAATCTGTCACAGTTCATGTGAAATGCTCCAGTTCAGATGACTTAAGTATCATATGTTTGTCAAAGTTGGGGATACTTATGTTACCATGCTTTTTTATTTTTTCACAGTTTTTCTCAAGTAAACAGATCAGCAATAGAAACACCGTGACCATATTCCTGACATATGTGTTTTAGTTCTTAGCTTCTTTTTATATTAATAGTGTTTATTTGAACTGTCCCATTCAGAGATATGAAAATAATACAGTAGGAGTATCTAATCAGCTTAAGAAGAAAAAATTATCACCTTCAAATTTTGGGCAGATAACTTTTGGTCAACCTTTGGAGTTACGATAGAGTGGCAGAGTTTCAAAATAAGCTCTGAAGTGAATCATTGAATATGATTTTCATATTTGCCTTACTATAGTGGTTGCACTTAACTAATTAATTTGTTTGCTTCAAGATGTTGACCAATATGTTTGCCTTGTGTTTTTTATTGAATCCAAGTTTTTGCCGAAAAAAAAAACAGTTCAAATGTGCTTAATGTGATGTCATCTTATTGTTTTGGTGTAGTTATTTATTTGTCTTTCTTTGTTGTTTATTGAATTTTATTACTATTTCTATGGTTTCTATTTGGCTTGTGTTGCAGCAATAACGTCTTTAAAGCAACAAGTTGAGGCACTAGAAAACCTGGACCAGTCAGTGGAGATTTTGGTCCGTTTGCTTTGCACTCTTCCTGGTTGGAGTGAGAAAAATGTTCAGGTATATACAGGTTTTTCTTTTTATATCAGTAGATTTTTTTTTTGTTGGTGAGACTTATTCTCTTTTTCTGACAGCTAGTTCACTCCCTTGTAATTCTTGCACATTTTTGTTAATGTTTCTTGTTTCTTATTAATAGAAAATTTATAGATTTATTTTTGCCTTCTTTTTCATAGAATTTTCAAATAAGAAATTATGGCATTTGATAAACAATGCAGGTTCAGCAGCAGGTTATTGAAGTTGTCACTCACCTAGCTTCTACTGCAACTAAATTCCCGAAGAAATGTGTTGTTCTTTGCCTTCTAGGTGGGTATTAGGTCTCAACTACATGTTTCTTTCGTATAAATCCAATAGCTCACTGCTTTGATTTGCTTGGTCGTTCACTAAAAGTGGATTGGGTAGCAGTCTTTCAGCTTAATTAATGTGCCCTTTTTCTAGCTTGACAGAAATAGATGCTTTGAATGTCCTCAACTATTTACTTATCTGGTTATATTTGCCTAATTAACAGGTATCAACGAACGTGTGGCAGATATCAAGACCCGTGCTCATGCCATGAAGTGCCTCACTACTTTCTCTGAAGCAGTAGGTCCAGGATTTATTTTTGAAAGAGTAAGTATGAAATTTTGGTTATCATCAGTGTCTAAAGTCATCTCTGTACAGTAAGTGGTCTATGAAGCATCTTTGTTTCTTAGCAAAGAACAAGTGTTCTATGAAGCAGAGATGAATAATTCTTCTTTTTATGGGTGTGTTTTGTTATTCAATTTGGTCTTAAAACTTACAGTTTAGACTCCTTCTGTAGCTTTACAAGATCATGAAAGAGCACAAGAATCCTAAGGTTCTTAGTGAGGGAATACTATGGATGGTTTCGGCTGTTGAGGACTTTGGTGTATCACATTTAAAACTCAAGGTTGCAGTTCTTTTTAAGTTCCTTCTCTCTTTTATTATGTCTCTCTTTTATTATGTACTTTAATTTTTTCTTGCGATAATATTTTATTAATTTTTTTAATAAATTGATATACAATCATTCTTCCACAGGATTTAATTGATTTTTGTAAAGATATTGGACTTCAGTCCAGTGCAGCAGCAACTAGAAATGCTACTATTAAGTTATTGGGTGTTGTACATAAGTTTGTTGGTCCAGGTAACCGGTCACTTCTCACCATTTGATTTAATTTCATAATTAAGGTTCTAAGACTTCACTCTTCTGCAGACATTAAAGGGTTTCTCACAGATGTCAAACCCGCACTGCTTAGTGCACTTGACACTGAATATGAAAAAAATCCATTTGAGGTATACTTCAATTTGGTTAAAGTTGTACTTAAAAAATGTTTTTCTTTCATAGAATACTAACACACTCCTATAACATTTTCAGGGCGCTGCTGCAGCTCCTAAGAAAACTGTTAGGGCATCAGAGTCCTCTTCATCTGTGTCTTCTGGTGGGCTAGATAGCTTGCCACGTGAAGATATAAGTGGAAAGATCACACCCACTTTGCTGAAGAGCTTGGAGAGCCCTGATTGGAAGGTCTGGTTGCTCAACATTTATAAAACGAGCTTGATATGTTTTCCCTTGTGTTTCTTGTCAATGCTGTTATTGACAGATGTAAAGTTCAAATAATTTAAATTATTTTCATTTGTCATGCACACTTTTGCTTTTCTCAGGTTCGTTTGGAGTCTATTGAAGTTGTTAATAAAATCCTGGAAGAGGCTAATAAGCGCATTCAGCCTACTGGAACTGGTACAATGCCATAATGCAATGTGTGCCTATATATATGTTTATTGTTTTACACATGACACAATTTTGAGCCATTGGATTAATGCATTTGAATAGTTAAGATTAATTATATTTGTGTCATTTCCAAGTTTTATTGCCATAATGCAATGTGTGCCGATATATAATTTTTGTTTTACACATGACACAATTTTGAGCCATTGGATTAATGCATTTGAATAGTTAAGATTAATTATATTTGTGTCATTTCCAAGTTTTATTGATAGTGCAAGTTGAATTGAATCTTAGCCATTTGAAGTCCATTGATCCAATGACTTAAAAAACTAGAAATTTTATTTAGAAAAGTGGTGCCGCATTGTGTTTATAAGTAAAAGCAACCATGTTATGCTTGCCTTTTTTCTTATAAACATTTGAATATGCTGATCTGTATTGCGTCAATTGATTGCCAGGGGAATTATTTGGTGCTCTTAAAGGGCGTCTATATGACAGCAATAAAAATTTAGTTATGGCAACTTTGACTACTATTGGTGCTGTTGCTTCTGCAATGGGGCCAGCAGTCGAGAAGTCAAGCAAGGTTTGTGCACATGCAATCATCATGTTTTTTAAGGTATATATGTTGGTGGTAATTTAGAAATTTGAAGCTTAGCATGAACCGCTTTCTTGCAGGGCATTTTATCAGATATTTTGAAATGTCTCAGTGACAACAAGAAGCATATGAGAGAATGCACTTTGACTGCTTTAGACTCTTGGCTTGCTGCCGTTCATCTGGATAAAATGGTAAATGTTTGTCGCATTTTATTTGAGGCAATTCTGATGTCTTATTTTCATTTTTCATGATTAATTTTTTTGTTGTAGGTTCCATATATTACAGCAATACTGACAGATGCTAAGATTGGTGCGGAAGGGCGTAAGGATCTTTTTGATTGGCTGTCAAAGCAACTCTCTGGATTAACTGATTTTTCTGATGCTGTACAGCTGCTGAAACCAGCTAGCTCTGCCATGGCGGTAAGTTCTTTGAAGAAAGATAAATGCTAGTCATCTCGACCTATTATTTTTGCCTGATTGCCAGTGTTGCACGCATTGTTTATTAATTCCCCCCTTTTTGAACTACATCATTTTCTGGAATCTTTATTAGGATAAATCATCAGATGTTCGAAAGGCAGCAGAAACATGCATTGTTGAAATCATCAGAGTTAGCGGACAGGAAACAGTACGTGTGCCATAAATTTTCTGGTGCTTTAGCATTCTTTTGAGATTGATGTTGTACTTTAACTTTATTTTTTCTGGATTTATATAACCTTTTTCAGATTGAAAAGCATTTGAAAGATGTGCATGGGCCAGCTTTAGCTCTTATTGTTGAAAGATTGAAACCTTATGGGGGATCTCATGGTGTGTATTTGGTAACCTGGTTCTTGTAATTTTTCCCCTTTTTTTCCTTTTATATTTTTTATGCTAATTTCTTTTGCTCTTATTATCACTTGAATCTGCAAAAGCAATTTCAATGGGGCCTACATCCAAAGGCAGCTCGAAGGTTGCAAAATCTACTTCTAATGGTTTGTTGAAGCATGGAAGCAGGACAATATCTTCGGTATGTTTTACATGTTTGAGTTACAACCATTTCTGAATTTAATGAGGGTGTTGAGTATTTGTTTGATGGCTTGGACAGAGGGGCATTCCAACAAAGGGTGCAAGGCCAGATGCAATTATGTCTGTTCAAGATATAGCTGTCCAATCACAGGCTTTGTTAAATGTCAAGGATTCAAATAAGGTATTGATCAGTTTAATTTGAAGCATTGAATATTGTGTGAAGTGTTAAATATACCGCAAACATCTTTAAAATAAGCATTTTTATTTACAGGATGAAAGGGAGAGAATAGTTGTTCGCAGATTTAAGTTTGAAGAGCCACGGATAGAACAGATCCAAGATCTTGAGGTTTGTTCTAGGATTTATTACTAGAGATATTTCTTTGTTTGCTATAAAAAAATAGTCATGAGACAGAATGTGCCTTTGTTGCAGAATGATATGATGAGATATTTCAGAGAGGATTTGCATAGACGTTTACTAAGCACAGATTTTAAGAAGCAAGTTGATGGGCTTGAGATGCTGCAGAAGGTGGTCTTCTCACAATTTTGGTTCTTGAATTTATTTCAAGTTTGTTAATATGCCATCTTAACCGAATATAGTTTTCAATTACAGGTGCTCCCATCTATACGAAAGGAAATTATTGAAGTTCTGGATATACTTTTGAGGTGGTTTGTTTTGCAGTTCTGTAAATCTAACACAACTTGCTTGCTTAAGGTATAACTATTTTCTCGCTTCCAAACATTTCCCTTTCAATCATTTTGTTCCTCTTAAGTGTGCAGCGTTTTGAGATATAATGATTTACACTTTTCTATTGTAATATTCAGGTGCTGGAATTTCTTCCTGAACTTTTTGATGCATTAAGGGAGGAAGCCTATGCTTTGACTGAATCAGAAGCAGCTATATTTCTTCCATGTTTGATAGAAAAGGTGCATGAATTTTCCGTAGCAAGAATTCCATAAATATCTGGATGTCAATTGTTACCATTTTGACCTTTTTTATTTTAATGTACTGCAGTCGGGGCATAACATTGAGAAAGTACGAGAAAAAATGCGCGAATTGACAAAACAAATTATCAATTTTTATTCTGCTACTAAAACACTTCCTTACGTTTTGGAGGGTTTGCGTTCTAAAAATAACCGTACTCGCATAGAGTGTGTTGACCTTGTTGGATTCTTGATGGAGCATCATGGGGCTGAGGTGCAAGAAGAGCACTTTTATCTTGTTTCACGTTTTTGAATGTTTTCTGGAAAACTTATATATGTTCTCTGTTTAACAGATCAGTGGACAATTAAAATCTTTGCAAATTGTCGCAAGCTTGACAGCAGAACGTGATGGTGAAATAAGAAAAGCTGCTCTAAATACATTGGCTACTGGTTACAAGATTATAGGTGTGGCATAGCATGATATTACGTAGTTGCTTTAGAGTTTACCTGCTATTGTTCTTTTATTCTTTGATTTTTGCTCTTCTTTTTCTTTGTGTTGAGTTATTTTCTTTTTCCCTTTCCCAGGTGAGGACATATGGAGATATGTTGGCAAGCTCACAGATGCTCAAAAAAGCATGTTAGATGATAGATTTAAGTGGAAGGTCCGAGAGATGGAAAAAAGGAAGGAAGGAAAGCCTGGAGAAGCGAGAGCTGCTTTAAGGCGTTCTGTCAGGGAAAATGGGTCTGTTTTTGAATCTCATACTTGTGCATCTAAATGTACCCATTATTGGACCAAAATTAATTTCTTTGCTGTATCCATTCTTAATTTTTTAAATCATATTTCAAGGTATTTTCAATTTAATTTTTAAGCACAATGTTTCACCTTTTCACTCTAGATGTTGATGCATTGAGAAAAGTCTTAGTTGTCATCTGTTTAAGTTATGCTGTACTCTGGTGTTATTGTCGTTTTCCTGTATACTTGAATTAGAGAAATAAGAAAAATAATGCAATTGCAAAATTTTAAGAAGTTTCTTCACTGTTTTGTGAGATAACTAATTTCCTTAGGGAATTTCAATATGGTTGGTCGTCATTCCTTGTGATCCCTACAGTTTTCTTGCTGCTGGTTGTTGCTTCTTGTGGAACTTATTATGCTATTTAATTTTTTTATTTGTTCAGATATATGTACTTTACTGTAATAATAGCATGGATNCACGTCTGATGCAGAGAAGAAGGAAGGCAGATGCAGGTTAAGTTTTTGCTGAGAATGGAGTGTGTTGTTGAGTCGTAAACGAAAGGTTTAGGATGCTAAGTTTCTGGTTTTTTGCGAAGGCTCTGATACCATTTGTTGGTTTCAGCCGAAGAACATTCAGAGAGAGAGAGAGAGATGAAAACAGAGCACCAAAAAACAATTTTTGCAAAAGCATCAGACCTTTCATTAAAAAAACAATATATAACACATATCCACTCTCTGCTAATTACACCAACTATAGCAGAAGTTACAGCTTTCAAATTCAAATTTCAACACAACATTACAGTAAACTTACTTCTAATGAACTTACTTAAATACCCTTTAAAAACAAGATAACCAATTACACAAAAACTCTCCCATGCACGTTAAGTTACTGCTGCATGAAACATTCTGCATTTTTCTAGAACACAATCCTGCAGACTTGAGTATTTGATGCATTTCCGGCAAGGCATCACTGCATCAACAGAAATTAATATTGTTTCAATTCCAGGAAAAACTATGGCCATTCTGAGCTTCGTGTGGAGAGACATTTAATGCCCCCTACACTAGCTGGTGGTAATGGTCCCACGGACTGGAATGAAGCCCTGGATATTATTTCTTTCGGTTCACCAGTGCAGGTTTCCTACTTACCTTGTCTAATGTTGATTTGTTTTCATTCTTAGTGTAGTTTCTATTCATTTGCATTGAATATCAGTATTCTGAACCATGTCCAAGGTTGTCTAGCCACTAAGGGAAAAAAGCCTCTTATGTATGAGACTTGTGCACTATGATTCTTATTGCTACTCGTTATTTTCTTAACAAATATGGAGCAAGTAAAAGATCACTTAGAATGCCAAATACTCTTAAAATGTAAATCACTAAAACTCAAATTTCTGCCGGGAATTATTTTTCAAATATTCTTGAAATAATAGATAATACCTATCTTTATTATATTGTCTCTGTGCATCCAAATCTATATGTGTAATGTTCTTAAATTTTAAGGTTTGAAAAATTAATTGTGGATAGGTGTCAATTGTTCTTTTAGAAATTGTGAATATTATGGGATCCACTTGCATCAATTTCAATGAAGAAAAGTTCTTTAACTTTAAACAATGTGTTGCAGTCTGTTGAAGGGATGAAAGTTGTATGCCATGAATTGGCACAAGCAACTAGCGATCCAGAAGGTAGTGCAATGGATGAACTTGTGAAGGATGCAGATAAACTTGTTTCATGCTTAGCAAATAAGGTAATGTAATTACAAATTAGTCCTTCCTTTCTCTTTCTATTGTTGCTCCTGCGTAATTGAACTGTTAAACATAAAATCATTATGTTGTAATATGTGGTTTTTTTTTTCTTTTGACTTCAGTCTGACAGGAGCATCATCAAGGTCGTGTAAATATGTTCTTAACACACTTATGCAGGTATAATGTAATGAAAAATCTGTCCTTTTGTTTATGATAATATTGTAAAAAGGACACTCAGAATCTTTCGACTGAGGATATATAAATTCTTCTACTTAGTCTTCTTAGCTGTTAAACTCTGATTCATGGAATCATTTTGCTGCAACATACTAACTTTTTGAACTTTGTGCAGACGTTTCAAAATAAAAGGCTTGCTCATGCTGTCCAGGAGAGTACTCTTGACAGTCTAATTACTGAGCTTCTACTTTGGCTTTTGGACGAAAGGGTTCCTCATATGGATGATGGTAGCCAACTTTTGAGAGCTTTAAATGTGTTGATGCTTAAGATTCTGGTAAAAACTTATCTGAATTGATTACATTTTCTATAATTTGATTGTATGTTTCGCTTAATTGACTTGGGCATTGTTCATACAGGATAATGCTGATCGAACATCGTCCTTTGTTGTCCTTATTAATCTCTTGCGTCCTTTAGATCCCTCAAGGTGGCCTTCACCTGCAACTAATGAGTCCTTTGCTGCAGAAATCAGAGGTTTTCTGATCTGGTTGTAAAATGCCTCATCAAACTGACAAAGGTATCTTTAATTGTTGGTGCCTTTCTGCTTTGCTTTCTGGGACTGTTTTGACAAACCATTGGGGTGGAAGTACTATATATGATGTCGATCTTGACCGCATTCTTCAAAGCATTCATGTATACCTGCAAGAATTGGGAATGGAAGAAATTAGGAGAAGGTATATGTCTAACTGTCATCTGCTCCTTTTTATTTTGGGGAGGGGGGATTGAATGCTCTGTGTTGTTTTCCTGATCTCAGTGCTCTTATTTTCATTAACTGACATCTTTACTGCTTTCCATTGTCTCATGTAATAATTTTTCAAATAGAGCTGGAGCTGATGACAAACCATTGCGTATGGTGAAAACTGTTCTACATGAACTTGTTAAGCTCCTAGGTGCTGCAATCAAGGGCCACTTGTCAATGGTTCCTATAGACATGAAACCTCAGCCAATTATTCTTGCCTATATTGATCTTAATCTTGAGGTAGTAAAGTAATCAAACAATCATTTTATTGGTTTGATCTATATAAGATATTCTTTTTTGGTTGACTCTTTTTCCTTCTCAATAATCTTTTCAGACTTTAGCGGCAGCAAGAATGTTGACGTCAACTGGCCCTGTGGGTCAAACTCATTGGGGTGATTCAGCAGCCAACAATTCGTCGTCTGCTACAAATTCTGCTGATGCCCAGTTAAAGGTAATACTTGTCTTTGTAGGTGATCTTCTACGATATTCCTTATTCCTGCTATATATATTTCTAAGACATTCTAATGATATTCTTTGTGCAACCATTATTTCTTTTCTTTTTTCTCCTATTGTAACTCAACGATGTTTTTTGGATGTACTGTATCTGCAGCAAGAACTTGCTGCAATATTCAAGAAAATTGGTGATAAGCAGACATGCACTATTGGTCTCTATGAACTATATCGCATTACTCAACTATTCCCCAAAGTAAGTATTCTACTCTGTCGTCCCTGGATACTTCAAGTTTTCTACAGTAACCACTTGGCTTAGGTTGATTTATTATTATTTTAATTATTTTTTTCCCTTTTATTCATACTAAAATTTTGTAATGTTTATTTCAGGTTGATATATTTGCTCAGCTCCAAAATGCTAGTGAGGCATTTCGCACTTACATCAGGGACGGTTTAGCACAGGTTAGTATTACTATCCTTCGTAGTAAACTGTGTCAGGTATCTAGGTTGTTAAAGTAGTGTACGTTAATGGGTGCTATTTAATCCTGTTGTAGATGGAGAAGAATGCAGCTGCGGGGAGTGTCATTTGGATTCAATGTCCTCTTAGTGAGGATTTCTTCTCATTATATAGGCACAAATGTGCAATATACAAGGCTAAAATCAAGCCTGAATTACAGCAGAAAATCTGCCTAAATTACAGCCATGAAATCTGTTTATACCAAAACTATACATATTCTGACTAAATAAGGAAGTGTATATATGTACAACTGGTGAAAACTAATTAAGGAAAGCGTATCATGGTGACATCCCCCCTCAAAGTGATGCTGGTCGGTCAAGAAGCATCAATTTGCCTACAAGAAACTGATGNCTGAACGAAATAGAGAAGCAACAGGAACAAAATAATAATAATTAAACAAAACAAACAGTAAACAAAGAATGTAATACGCGCGATTTACCCTGGTTCACCCAATGTAGGCTACGTTCAGCTGAGTCAATATTATTGCAATATGCCTCACTTCTCTCGTTTACAATGAATGAATTGTTCTCACACACATAACAAGAGAAAAGTATGTTTATATACTAGTTTTAAGTGATTAAACCTAGTTTTACAAGAATTCCTATTCCTAAGCCCAACCCAAAAAGGAATTAATAACTTAAAAGGAATCCTACAGCGGTTATACATGGAAAAGCCCAAAACCGCCTACTTCAGCATCCGTTACCCATTAATGCTGAAGTAGTCGACAACTCCAACAAGTTCCTCCCAAAAGACATGATTTTAAGTCCAGGTACAGAGGTTGAAAGCTTGGTGGAAATGGATTTTGGTCTACTTTCACTGTCAACCCACTGAATCCTAAACCTATCCATTCAGGATTCGAGCTCTTGATCAACGATGCAAACGACACGATCATTCCATTCATGTTGTTGGAACTGATTATAAGATACTTCAGCCTGGAAAGCTGACTGATGCAGCCTGGTAAGTTTCCTGTGAAATGGTTTCCTGCCAAAGAAAGATACTGGAGGGAAGATATGTTACAGATTGAACTGGGAATGGATCCTTGCAAAGAATTCCGCCTGATGTAGAGTACCTTCAGGTTTTTCAATTTGGAAATATCCGACCAAAGATGGCCTGTTATGTTGTTGAAATCCAGTGCTAAAATTTTCAACTTGGAGAGGTTCATCAGAGGAGGTATTGGCCCCTGGAGGAAACAATTGGAAGCTTTGAATAGAGTCAAAGTAGTGGTGTTGGCAAAAGAAGTTTGAAATGATCCAATAACTTGAGTTGATGAGATATCAAGAGCTAATAATCGAGGCCAAGGAGTTGCAAAATGGAATGCAAATCAATGATAATCTCAGAGTTGTTTTCCACATAAAGTTCTGTCAGTTGAGGAAGATAAGGGATTGGACCCTGTAGATGTGATTTGGTGAGATAGAGCCTGGAAAGAGAAGTGAGATTGGCTAATTCTCCAGGAATCGGGGATGCGAAAAAATTGAAGTCCATCATCAGTACAGAGAGATTGGTGAGGTTGAGAAGCTGCTTTGCAGGAAGTTTTCCTGAAATCCTGCAATTCGACAGCAGAAGACGCTGGAGATTGGACAGAAAAGATAAAGGATTAGCCCACTGGTTTGAGTTTGTAGCCTTAGAAGGGGGGATCCACACCTCTCAAACTTAGTACTCTAAGATTATGAAACCCCGAAGAAACTAAAGATGGCAAAGAAAGGTGGCCTGCTATATGTAACCATATTCAGCACCAGTGTAAATCTGAAGTGAGGATGACAAGTGTTAACCAATAGTGGAAAAGTCATTGCCATAAGAACATGAAACATCAAGGTGTGTAAGCAAAGTAAGGTTGGAGAATTGGGTGTAATGGAGCCATTAAACATTGCATTGGAAAGATTCAGTAAGTGAGTTGTGAGTGGAAAAACCTGAGGGGAGTTTGTGTACATTAGTTGTGAAGTGAGGTCAAGATAGGTAAGATGGTAGGGAAAAAAGGGGAAATGGTGCCATTAAGGGCAGTAGATTTGGGCTGGATTGGAAACAAGCTCTTTGTTCATTATTGATAGAACATTCCGAGAGTGGATTGGGGTTCCTGAGATTGATAGAAGAAACATGAATGATTCCGAGCATGATTCCATGCCAAGTGCAGCAGTTTTGGCCTTGCCATGAAGACAACAGATTTCCGGGTCAGTAAGCTGGATTTGATGTAATAAGCTCCCTTTCATGATCATGGAACATATTATGAAGAAAAATTGAGGAGCAGAATTAGTACTTCCAAGGAAACAAGATTTTCAGTTTCATGTTGTGTTGTGGTCTAACTGAATAGTTGGACACTTTTAAAGATGCCAGTCTTCTTTATATTTATATATATTTTTTTTATGATTCAAACTGAGTTTAAAATTGAATATATCAAGCCACGACTTTTGGAAAGTGAGAAATAATGGACTTTTGCGATATAGGTAACTACGACTAAGTAGTTCAAATCCCTATTTTGTGAGAGTAACCAAGTCTGCTAACCTTTAGTAACACGTAATTTTTTTGATATATTATTTCAGATTGAGATAGGACATTTGACTAGGTTAAATTTGAAATTGTGTTAAACTTTCCTAAATTCAAAAGACAGTAAATGGTTTGTTTTTAAAATGCAGAGTGATGCAAACAGAGGCATGCAAAGAGGTGACTTTTGAGTAAAAAAAAAAAATAATAATTAATAATAAAAATTGGACTTCTTATCCTTTAGCTTTTACCATTTCAATTAGGAGGTGAAAATTACATACTTATGGACATAGTAAATGAATCAAATGTAAAATATAAATATTTAATAGATAAGAAATTAAGTTTATTGAATTCTTTATTTTCTTCCACTTTCATCCCAAACCCCCTCAACCATTAATTTCAGGCAAGATACCATAAAGTCTTCGGTGGTAAAATTAATTTACTAAAATTTTAAAAACATTATTTCGATGACTTTTAGCTTCATCTGTTTTATAAACATTACAAATAATTATGCAAAATATATTTAACTTATGTTATTTTTATTTGTTTGTAATTAGACCATGTCAAATTCAGATTTTGCAAGCAACTGTTACTGTTATAACTAATACTATATATATTAACATAACAGTTTTTAGTATACCCAAGTATATGCCAACCAGCGATCCAAGAAGACATCAAAAAACTTAAACAAGTCCATTAAAAAAAAAAAAAAAAATCTAGTCATAATCATGAAGTTTATAATATTTTATAAAAGAGCGTGATAATAACATTATATTATTAAAATCCGTACCGAGTAAAAAAAAAAAGGTTAGTACTTAATTCGATATTTTACATCATTTTAAAAAAAAAAAAATAAGAGTAGTTTAAACACGTAACTACCATAACTTAGCAATAAGGTAAAGTTAGCATGATAAACAAATAATTTATAACTTATTTAACTATCCTTGGTAAATAACAATGGCGACAACTGACAACTCCATTGATTGTTCTAATGTTTGCTTCTATGATTGTAGAAAAAAAGATAAGTGCTCAATTGTGGGGAAATTACCCAACTTAGAATTCTATAATATAATTATAGTCATCGAATAGAAACTACTTTAAAAAATGATTTATAATAAGAATATCTAAATGTTATAAACACATGATGATTTTAAGAGATTTAAGTTGAGTCCTCTTTGAGTGTTAATGGGATAATCATTGGATACATCTAAGGTTCAAACAACTCAGTGAAAAAAAAAAAAAACAAAACAAACAAACGTGGTTGGTCTATATGCCTACTGGCGAAATTGACAAATGGAAGTTGTCGCCTACCCACGACAATGAGGGCACTCTCAAAAACAGCTTACAGGCGACTAGGGAGATGCCAAGCGTTTATAAGCGTAATTACGAAGCAAGTGGGACTCAATTGGGTTGTTCAAAGAACCTTGTTTCTTGTAAGGGTTTGGATTTGGACATATATATATCCACTAATTCTAATAATTCCCAAATATTAAGTTTTATTAATCTTTTTTAAAGGATATAAACGTAAAACCATATACTTACTATTTATACCCTAATAAAAAATATAAAAAATTTGCTTTAACATATAATCTTTCCTTTCATCCACAAATATTTTCTTCTATTCCCCCAAATCTCGAATCATATTTAAAGCAAGCTAGGTTATACTTGATAATAAAAATTAATAAGTCTAGTATTTTCAAAAGTTAATATGTATCCCGACTATTTTTATCTCCACACTTTTTATAAGGGTTATTATCAACCAAAGGTTCAGATGACACTTTAATAAAAAAATTAGGGTGCTTATGATTTAGGGAATGTTGGATTAATAGAAAGATAGTTACCAAAAAATCTTTAGAGAAATGTATTAGTTGGTTGGAATAAATTGATAGGGTGGCGGATCCAGCACATGGCCACCCCTAAAATTTTTTTTTTAATATTAATAGTAATTATATATTTTGGCCCACCCTAAAAGAAATTCCTGGATCTGCTACTGTAATGGTATGTATGTTATAATAATAGTTTGGTTGGGAGGATAAATGAGGGGGTATGTATATAGATTACTAAATTGCCCTCTTTTTAAAATAATAATATAATATATTTTTATTCTATTATTTTTAAATTATTTTTTAACCCCTATATTTAAAATTTTGCTAAAAAACCCTAGCCATATAAAACTTTCATTTGTAGCAAAATCACCTCCACCCACCCAACCACTATGGCAGCACCGTAATGGCGCACGACGACCGGATTGGCTGGTCGTGCGTCGGTTAGGCCTAATCTATGGCCAAAAACGGCTAGATATGGCCGTTCACAGCCAAACATGTGGCCCTGAAATGGCGGCCATTTCATGGCCAAGATCTGGCCTTTCATGGCTAGATCTATGGCGGTCACAGCCAAATATGGTCGTTTTCGAATGGATCACATCTAAGTCCGAAAATGTCCTTACCAGCACATGACTGCAAGATTTGTTGGTCTTGCCCTGATATGATAACTTTCGCAGGCGGCAGTGATGTGGCTAGCGGTCAGCGGTAGTCTTGGGTGGTTGGGGGTATTTGTTAACTTTTAAACTTTTTTGTGGCTGGGGTTTTAGCTATATTTTTAAATGTAGGGGGGTGAGCTAATTGTTATTGGTAGACATATGAGGGCAAATGGTCCTAAATGATTAAATATAAAGGGTAAATAGTGTCAAAATTAAGATTACCTCGATAACGGTAATCTTAATAAACCCCTTGGGAAGGTAATCTGAATTCC